GGATTTCATGGCGATTGATCTTAGCCAGTGGTTGCTGTTCTGGTGGAATTCTCCCATTCACCTTCTTTTCTTATCGTGTTTCCCGTTTCACCACGTTCATCAGCGTCGATTCATGGAGTGAATGCTCGTTGTGCAGACTTGGGTCGTCAGTCATACCTTTCATGGCTAGTATTTGAGCATCTTGGAATTTGTTTGAGATTTTGTAATTATATTGGTACCTTGTCATGTCAGCACTTATACTATATGATTTCCGTTGCTTTCAAAAACTAGTTACCCTAGGTAGAGCGTTGAAGAAACAGGGAGGAGGGAATTTGTCATAAAATTAGCTGGTGCTTCAAATAGGCTATAGCTGGTATACAAATCTGTAAGTGGGAAGCCGCAACCCTAGCAGTGTTAACGATACCTCCTTACCTTATCCTCTGCGTCTTTCTCAAATTGCCATTTCTTTCCCCTAGCTATTAAGGTGTGCTGAAACTTTCAATTTGATGTCGTCTCCATTTCAAGCTGTTCTAATTTCGATCATTTCATGCTAGTGACAAAGCTGTTATCTTATAGTAGCATATGCATCATGCTGTCTCTGCGGTTTCCAAGCCAAATTTTCCTCTAAGCTCCATTTGGGCTTTCACTCCGTGTCTTGTCAAAAAATTTCATATGATTTAGTTAGGCCAATGATAAAAGTCGAATTTTTGCTTGTAGCTTTTTTTGAAACGAAGCTTGTCTCGCATACTCCCATGCCTGAGTTTTGGTTACCGAAATCAGATTTTGTTCTCCTAGCATCATCAATTTCCCTATATTTCGTTTTCGCTTTTTTGTGTACCGCTATCGCTCGAGCAAACTATGCTTATTGCCAGTATAGCTTTTCGTTGTGGCTGTTGCAAATCGCCTGCTTCGCTTTGTTGCTGAACAGCTTATGGTGTGCTAGCTGTATTGTGGGCCATGCCGACAACTTGCGGCTTCCCGAACTGCAAGTTTCGTTCGCGGTATCGTGGACAAGAGGATAATCGACACTTCTATCGTATACCTAAACGCCCTCAGGTTTTACGGCAACGTTGGCTGCTCGCTATTGGACGTACAGAGGAAACAGTCGTCAGCCAGGTAGAGGCACTATGCTTGAAGTGCTTTAGACATTGATGTAGCGCTGAGATTTCGCTTTGCTTTTGTGATGCTTTGTCAGTTTGTGCAGTGCTTTCATCGCGGGCTTTAACAACATTATAGTTCGAAAAAATACCTTTACAATACAAGCAATATTACCAGTGCTGAAATCTGTGCTCGGTGCTTTTTGTTCCTCCCTCTGAAGATATCAGGCATTTTCTTGCCCAAAATGCTGGGCACTGCATTGTAGCAAGTGTTTAATATAAAGCTAGGGTACAGTACATGCATAATTATGTGCTGGAGAATATACTAACATCCATGTAGGTATCAGCCATGCACTTTCCCATTTAGAGCAGCTCTGTGCAAGAGTGTGAAGTGAGAAGAGACTATGTTATTATCTAAAACGGGATCATTGCCATAGGTTCTAATGAGTATCCGTTTATCTATTGGTGGTGTAAATTGCGATGATGGCAGGTTGCCAGGCAGCGGCACCCTTCCTCAATCTGGCCGGTAGGGAAGAGTAAATTGTCGTCAAAATATGAAGCGGATTATGAAAAGGCAATAGCACACTCACATACGTTGCTAGAATTTCTCTACAGGGATTCTTAGCCTGTGAAAATAAGGCAAACTTAGTAACTGCCTTTTCAGCTTCGGATCTGCTCAGCTCATTTCGAAGGAGGTGAGAAAAAGGAAGGAGACATACCGGTGCCAGACCCTACGGTGAGAAAGATACCATATACCAGTACACCAATCAGCGTGCACTCGACTGCATTCGCGGTGGTGTAAAGAGTGATTCATTGCTAGCTGCTCGTTGTGTCAGGTCGACAAACAGCTGAACATCGAGCTGCCACCCAAGGAAAGCAAAGGCGGCGAAAGGAAACGTAACAAAGGTAATAGTAGCCGCGAAAATTGGTCAGGAGTGCAAAATGTCCTCTTTTATATTCAGGCAGTCCTCCAATATCAAGGTCGCTTGTTGTACGAAAGAGGCAGCTTCCCGATTTTTTGAGGAACTCTCTCGGTGAGCTTTTTAGCGTTCATATTCGCTGTCTTCTGCATTCAATGGTTTTTATGCCAACGTCGACTGGCCTATCATCGAAGCTCATCAAACGATCTCTCAAAACATTTT